ACACACACACACACACACACACACACACACACACACACACACACACACACACACACACACACACACACACACACACACACACACACACACACACACACACAGTGACAGACTAACAGGGTCAGGCAGACTAAATAGTAGTTCTATGAGCATGTGGATGCCCTCTACCAGCTTCCGTATATGTAAACACTGAGGTGAAGGCCGATAGGGATGTGATGTAGTCCCAGCTGAGCCCAAATCTTTACATGTATACAGAAACTCCGCCCCAACTGCCGACTGGGCAAAAAGGCCAGGTCACTTCGCACTGCACGCCTGGGGGTCCCACAGCCTAAGCACATGCCTCAAGTTTAATGTGTGAATCCCAACAGGACGTTGCTCCCACAGACGTTGTTATCCCCTGAGGTATGACGGCACAACAATGTAGAGACGGGAGCCTGCGAAGAAGCCAGGCAATGTCTCCCATTGGTTTGTAATTGTGCAAAATTGCACCGCACGACCGGCAGCCAGCCACCGAGCCATTAGATAAGCACTCTCTGCACCCGAGAGTGCTTATCTACCCATGCCGGACGAAGATTTTACCCCAAAAACCTAGAGCATCTGAGGGCACGTACAGGACACGGAGCAACGGGACCTCTAACCATCATCCAGTGTGATGAGGGGGATAATCCAACTCTGACGAGAGTTAGATTAGAAGACTGATCCACTCTCATGTCTGTAGGGGGAATGTGTGTCCACCGCCAGCAGCTGGTTAGCTTCCCTTTGCACAGAGACTGAACGCAAGAGGAAACAGCTAGCCTGGCCAAGAAACAGGCACACAAACACAGCGAATAAGTGCCTTTCCCAAAAAGACAAACTATCCCTTTAAAGCAATGCGAAAGCCTCACAGAGGTGTCTGTATCCGTTTGGTGCTTAAGTGAAAAAACAAAAGCCTGGAGTATAATTTTAGAAAGGGTTTCCTTAGTATACAAACCTCAGTAGGCAGCATCAGGGTCTTTGTGTGTCACAATGTTGTACAACCCGGTTAATGGGTGTAGTAGTAGTAGTCTCCCAACAGCAGCAGCACGTTGGAACAATAAGAGCAGGGCAGACAGAGGGACTGACCCGGTGTGTTTGCTCAGAGTGCACATGAAAGTGTGCTGCAGGTGACTGAGGGTGAGAGTGTGTGTGTCTGTGTGTGTGTGTGCAATGCGTGCGCAAAGTGTGTCTGTGTGTATCGAAGAGATTAGCCACTGCATGCATGAGTACAACAGGTGTGCGTGTAGGTATACGACACTGCGTTGGGAACTTATATACTGCCAGTGTATGCATGTTTTTGTCCAAAGTATAGGCTATATGTAGTTTGTATGCATAGCGAGTACGTATAAGCATACTTTGCAAGAGCATAATTAGCATATGTGAGAATGTGTGTGCGAGTGTGAGACAGGTGTGTAAATAGGCCAGTGGAAGCAGAGGTGCAGGGAGGCAGCTGTATTCAGAGGAGCAGGACCAAAGTCCAGAGCCACATTTGCAGGTATGCGGCTACAACAGTTGTGATTTCACACTTTAAATCACACAGAATTTGTAGTCAGCTCAACTGTTCAGTTCAAAGAAGGTGTACAGTTGAGCATATAAACAAAATCAACCCAGAATGAGATGTATTTTGCGTTGTAACAGAGCTCATCCTGTGAGAAAAAGGAGCCAGTTGGGAGCTAACCGCACTGATCTACAATACATGGACGGCTGCCCAGGCAAGGTCACTAAGCCACTCGACCACAAGGGCACCCTCGCTACTACGCTCTCCTGCCTGCCTGCCTGTCGTTATGGCAATGCTGAGAGCCCAGCTGGTTGCCGATTGGCTGCTGGCTCATCCTGTGGGTGGAGCCATTGCACGACGAGGAAGCAGGAGGCTCTCAGCAGCTCAGCAGGGTTTGTTTACATTGAGCGAGAGGAGTCAGAGAGAGATCGACATGAGAAAAGCATCGATGAAGATTGTCAGGGATTCAGGTTTTCTAGAAACGCTGAGTCAAAGGCAACTAGGTTTATATTAGAAAACAGTGTTTAGTTGTACACTTTCTACTGGCAATCTATAAGACAGTATGTTTATGTCTTTTGTAAATTTAGGTGAACAATACGACAACTCCCTACATTAAAAACAAGGAAACATTTACATGAACTATTATGTATACTGTGTATGTGTATATAGATATTATATTCTGTCATTATATCTTAGAAAACAAACTAAAATCAGACAGTAAGGCAGATGAAGAGGTTAAAGAGTTAAAAAAAAAAAAGGTTGTGAGCCTTTGATCTCTTGGATAAATACTATTATGCATTTACTATTAAGCAATCTAGAAAATAAATATATAAATAAATCATCATCATAGAAGATTACAATGATTTCTGAGCAATGTCTCCCCTGGAATGAGGTTTTTTTTTTTTGATGCCATGCACTTTGCATTTCTGAACACCGTACAAATGTGTAAGTGCAAAGAAACCACGTCTGATGTGAAGCAGCAGCAGCTGGAGTTTTAATTGTCCCGGGCCTCGGTTCACGCGCAGCCAAGCTGCAATAACCGTAACACAACAGCGGAATGAGCAACACTGTGGTTAAGGGGCAAAACTCTCCAAAAAAAACAAAAAAAAAACAGACAAACGTCACACTTCAGCTCAACAAACTCAGACACGGGAAGCAGCGGGCAGCACACACACACACACACACACACACACACACACACACACACACACAC